TCATTTCTTCCTTTCATTGAGTTGACCAGAAGTAATGACTCTTTGAAGGCTTTCTGTGCACACTGTAATGTTTTTAATCTTGAACAGTGTGATTATCTCAGGACACAGTTCCATCAGCAAGGCCCATTTACAACTTGGAATGCTTGAAATTTCACAGTAAGAAGCAAAGTGCAGTGCTTAAAATCATATGTTGTAGCAAGTGCACACAAGCCAGCAGGTTCTGCTGTTTCCAGGAATGTCAGGAACAATAGAAGATATGTCAAATTTGAGCTAACAGCTGTGGGTGTTTATCTCAGAATTCATATTGTTCTACTTTCTTTTCCACTATGGGAAAACGTCAGCAAGGCTCCTGTGTGATCTCAGCCTCTTTTCTTTTTCTGCTTAGAACCTTCTCATCCTTTCAAGCCAGCATCTCCCAAAGTCATGCAATAGTCACCCTTACCCTTAGGCAGATGCTCTGGAGCTCTGTCCCAAACTCATGGGCCTGCTCCCCATTCTTGCACCTTCAAGTGTCAATACTGAGGCAACAGTTTAGACTACCCAGACTTCCAAATCTATCCTACAGGTTCTACGTCCACTACTGAAAGAGCTTGGTGTTATTTGAGGGAAAAACGAGAAAAACTTTTTTTGGGCAATGAAAACACTTTTCTCTGTCATTTTATGTCACCGTATCCTGCTAATACCTACAGCCATCTACTGAATAGTTGTGGGCTGATGTGAAGTAGAACGTACTCAGAGAAAGGTCACAAATTCTGAGAAGTAATGGATGCAAATTTGCCATTAAAGGAATGTTATCTGTAAACCATACTGCAAGAAAAGCTTGTGGACAAAACAAACAAAAACCACAAGACCTTTCTATTATGAAACTGCAAATCTCCCGAAAGAGCTGAGAAAAGGTATGGAGTTGAGTGTGTGACCTTGATTCATGACATCAATATTTCTGATGGCAAAGAGATAAAGCTGTTTATATTCTTTGAGAGTTGAGAATGTAACATTCTAGAAGTAATTATTAATGTTCTTGATTTGCTCCGTTTTCTGTGATGGGGTAACAGAAGGAATACTGAATTCAGGAAGAAAGCAGGTGAGTTCTCACTGAAATACACTGGAAAAAAAAAAAAAGCAACTAAAAATAAAAGAAAAAAAGAAAAAAGGAAACCAAAACCTTACATAGATATTGGAGAGCCTAAGCGAATACTTACCCGCATGAGTTGAAAGGACTATTGTTTATGCTTAGCAAGTATGAGTATTTTGTTGAAAATAAATCAACAGTTATGACTACCAAATCCTTCCAGAGAGTGTAAAACACTTAGCAGGATTGGAGCTCCTGTTCAGGCAGATCATTACAGACTATATTACAACTTCATAATGGTCTGCAAGCAGGCTAGGAATGGCAATTGGTCACTGCCAAGCTTGCTTGCCAAAATTCTCCTTCCACAAGTGAGCACCTCTCTTATTGGGAAAGTCTGAGCGACCTGAGTCTGTTCAAAAGGAGACAAAAGAAGACTCAGAGGGGATCTGATCAATGTCTATAAACAGCTAGGGTGCAGGAGGGCAAAGGGATGAGGCCAGACTCTTTTCGGTGATGTGTGGCAGTAGAACAAGAGGAAATGGTTGCAAATTGAAGCACTGAAAGCTCTGCACAAGCGTGCATAACAACTGCTTCCCAGTCAGGGCGATGGAGCACTGGAACAGGTTGCCCACAGAGGTGGTGGAGTCTCCTTCTCTGCAGCCATTCAAGACCCACCTGGTTACCTACCTGTGCACCTGCTCTAGGGAGCCTGCTTTGGCAGGGGGGTTGGTCTAGATCATCTCTAGAAGTCCCTTCCAGCTCCTACAATCCTGTGATTCCATGATTCTTTGTAAGTTGGCCTTAGAAATGCCTATGAATGCCAGCGAATATGTGTCTGAAGTATACGTTTGGATTTGTTAAGCACCAAGACAAACTGTACTTGTTAAAACCTCTCAGCCAATTTTTATATCTCTCAAACTGAAACGTTCAGGAAACACAGTATTTGAAAAATATGGCAAGTATATTAATATATAAATACTGCCTTTCTTCAAAAGGGCATCAGATGGTGTAAATTTATCCAGATTATAGGTTAACTAAATGGAAGTAAGAAAATGAAACGCTTTCCCTGTGAAAAAATTCTAATTCAGAACAAGTAACTGTAATTGGTGCACTTGTATTCTGAAAATACTTAAGGTAGGACTGTACCATATGGAATTATCAACTATTTGTATAAAATTTACTGGTGTTGCTGGAATCTATGTATTATTTACTTTGCATTCATGACTAACATCAGAATACACTTATGCACAGGAATGAAAATTTTGCCTGACAAAAAAAAAAACCTTGCTTTTTCTTATACTTATAGCTTAAAATTGAGAAGAATAGTCTAAGAATATCTAGCAGAGTAATCACTGAGTTACCTAAATAAACTGTTTTCAATGTGGTAAATGTTTTGTTAATACTGTTCCTTTATTCAGTATTAGTCAGTTTCAAGAAGGACATGAGAACTCTCCCCTCCCCCCCATCATGATTATTGATCTTAAATAAAAAATTAATTTTAATGTATGATATAGGAACAACGATAAAGAAGGAATTGAGTGCAGAAAAGATTGGTAGCAAGAGACAGTAAATACTAAATAATATGAGGAACATGCTGTTTATTTGCTTTAGTAATTGTCCTTCAAGCAGTTTATTCTCTTATTTTCCATACTGATGTTAGTAGGAGTAAATGCAACAGGTTGTAAAAAGATGAAAAAGAGGTAAGCACTGAAATAATACAGTTGCAAAAATGTATGCTTTTTTTTTTTTTACTTGAAATATACTTATTCTTCTGTCTAGCTTTATTATTATTATCATTATTATTTTAATTTTGAAATTACTATGGGTATGTGGAGCACCCAAAACTACTCCACTTCTTGATTATCGTCCTCCTCTCACCCCATGCTAACACAGATAACCTCTGCTTTTGTTTGTCACCCTTTCCCAAATAGCTGAACTTGTCCACAAAGTACAGCTTCATTTGCCAATGTCACATACATCACAACATCACAGTCCATTAACTAATGCCCCCAGACTGCCTTCTCATTCGGAGTTGTGCTTCTCTTTTACCAGCAGCCACATTACCCCTTGCTACCAAAACTAGTATTTTTGTAGTGCTTGATGTCAGCAGAGCCTCTATGGAAATAATTGCCAGTGTTTCAGTGTTGTTTCATTTCTTTCCATCTTTCTAACCACATTTCTCACCTAGTCTGGTCTGTGCGCTGTCATTAATCTCTCTTACTTCCAGTGAATTCCAACTGTTGCTATCTACTCTTTATTTCCCGTGAGCTCATCTGCAACAGCAACTCCCTCCACTACGTGGCACTGAAAAATGGGATGGTTGCCTAAAAAGCAGGGGCACTCAGAGGTCTTACCTTTGTGATGCATATGCATGTGGCCCTTCTGTGTATGCATGATTTCACCCGTATGAAAATAAGGAGCTAAATAATATCCAGTACACAGATGTTCCCAGGTGAACAGAAAACAAACGAGCATCTCTGTATTGTATTTCCTTTGAATATATTGAGTTACTCAGGGAAGAAAATCTGGTTAAGGAAATTAGGGGCAGCTTTCACTTTTGAAAGAGAGAGCCTAAGTTCAACAGTGTCATTTTCTGGCTGTAGGATTATACCTTTCTCAGCAAAGGGATTAAGCTCTATTATCCAGGATTTTGTCACGTGCAGAATCAGATGCCGTATCTTGTGATATTTTGTTCCATTTTGTTTCTCTACTCAAAATTTTGGTCTGCTTTTAAAGCACTTCCTTTCTCATTTCTTTCTCTTCTTGCCCTCAAAGAAAACAGGATAAAAGATAAAAAAAAAAAAAGTGGCCTAGTTTCTTATATCCAGCAAAATGTGATCTTGAAGCAGTACACACTGAACACTTTGAGTAGTAATGCACTCACTGTTTGTGAGTAGAAAAGAGGGAACTTCCAGTGAAGTTATGCTTCTTTTTCCACACTGCTTCAGAGCTTTTTCTGATGAAGTATAACAAACTGCCATGAAGGATTTCATACATAAAATAGGGAAGACAAAGTACTAGAATATCTACATTTATAATAACTGCTTGATAGCAAAAAAAATGGCCTAAAAGTATGAACAACCTCTTGGCCATAGAAACTTACTGCACGCTGATGGTGAATAAGGACAGATCTGTACAACTGTAACCTTTCCTACCACATAAACTTGTTATTTTTTTAGCCTGGCTTATACATCAACAAATACTTATTTAGTGTTTTTCTGATTCTATCTTGAACAGCAAAAGCAAAATATGTCTGAGAGAAATTCTGCACAGAAATAATACAAAATTACCTATGCAGCACACACACCATGTATGTGACTCTTAGGCAATGTCATGACAGTTGTGAATATATTAATAAGTTGACCTGAGTGTGTACAATACACCAGAGCATCACTTCTGTATCTGTACGAGAGCAGATGAGGCACAGAGTTCCTATGCAGTAGCCATTGCTTCAGGCTTTCTGGTTGTTAGCAAGTCTCAAAGAACGGGCCACTCCAGAGCTACAGCTCTGAGAAGGAAAGCAAAACCATCTGTATTCGTGTAGACCAAAGACTCATTTAGCTGAATAATCTTCCTGCTGGTTACAGGACTGGAATGGGTGACGTTGACTGTCTAAAGGAAAATGTAATTAACAAAGCTAGCATAGGTGTTCCTAGCTTGCAATAGTCTGTAGCTCAGGAAATTTCCGAGGCAGTGATGTGACTTTTCCAATAAACACAAACTTCTGATATACCCCCAAAAAACATGGAAAGGAGCTCCATACCTAAAGAACCACCTTTCTCTGTCTTTCTTTTTTTTTTCATTGTGACTTGCCTCAAGCAGGTTTAAGTGTCTTAATGCCTCTCGTCACTGTAAAGTGTTGTCTCTTATTCATATTATTCATAAACCTCTCTGACTACATTTTGGTGATCTTTTTGCAGACTGAAAAAAAAACCTGTCCTTTTAGTACAGAATCTTTACACTTGTTCCAGTTCCTCTATATCCTCTCTGGGATGAGGAATTGCGTAGGGCATTCAAGATGCAGGAGCAGAGTGGATTTCTTGTGCAACATTCTGGTTTGTATCTGTTTATTTTACTTTTTTCTCTTTCTTAGTCTCAGTCATTCTCTATGATTTTCCCTTTCCTTCTTTTTCCCCCCACTTTTTTTTTTTTTTTTTTTTTTGCATTTTTACTGAATGCTCAGCTAGAGGTTTGAATAAATTTATCATAAACTTGAAATCTCATTCCAGATTTAAAGTAAACAGGTCCAAACCCCTTATAGAATATATAAAATTACCGTTGTTTTTTTCTCATACGTATGATTTTACAATATTTGATTTTGAATTTTTCACAGAATCACCAAGGTTGGAGAAGACCATCAAGATCATCCAGTCCAACCATCCACCTGTCACCAACAGCTCTCACTAAACCATGCCCCTCAACACAAAATCCAATATACATTTCCTGCCATTTTATCTGCAATTCTTCATGGTTTCCCAACAAATTTTAGAAAGCCCCTGGCAGCTACTGAGGATGAAGGCTCATCATAAAGGTAGTTCAATTATGTACATTTGTTTCTGGAAAGAAATGGAGAAATGCAACTCACTGGTGTAAATTTCACGGGGAAACAAACCATACGACTCCTTAGTTAAGGGCAGCAAAAATGCTCCAAATCATGATATGCATGCAGACTTCCCTCTAGCCACTTTAAATGAATGATACTGGATATTATTTCATCTGGTAGAATTAACACCCTGTGTAACATGCTTAGCCTAATTTTTCTTTCTGCTTTCTTTAGATTGCTGTGGTACATTGGGTACAAATCATGTACCTAATGTGAAATGTGCTTGCTTGTTCTCTCTCTCAATTATTTCTGAAAAATCATTGCTCTGAACTGTGTTTGTTTCCAGTGTGTTTTACTGGTGGGAAGATGACTGTCTACAAGATTTTCAATTTTATCTAATGGCATTCAGCTCAGAGGCATCAAAATTTCTCTCTGGAGCCAATTGCATGTTTCTTCAGTTTGGTTTCCAAAAAAAAGCTGCTTTTTACAGACAGAAGCCTTACTGGGGAGCTTGACTATTCACTTGTTGCTCTCATATTGGAGAGGGCGTGATGTAGACCTTACCTGCTAATGAGGAATCAGCGATGAGATTTGAGCACTAAGGCAATGTGCTTTCAGTAGTTACTTTTGCTAGGTAGAAGGACTTGTGTTTTCTGAGATATTTTCTTTTTATAAGGTTGGTTTTTTTGTTGTTGTTGTTGGTTTTTTTTGGTATACACAGAGAATTACAGTAATAGAGCAAAAGATCAAAAGCATACTGGTTCTCAGTCGTCCCAGTGGTTAATTCTGAATGCAAAGGAAAGGTAATCATACACCCACCAAATAGATGGAGAAATCAGTACATTTTGTGAAAGGAACTCCCTGAGTACCAACAGGAAGGTAAAGGACAAGTAAGTATGCATAAAATTCATAAATACATAATAGTTTCTCAAAAGTATCCAACAATGAGTCTAAATTTGCAACTTTCTCACCTGCTGATTTCCTGAACCTTTTTGTTATCTTAGGTTAGATTGCTTTCTTCAAAAACTTCAAAGGCATGTCTTTTGTGGTTTTCCATACAAAACAGTTTTTGTCTCAAAGAAAGGTTTTAGAATTTTTTGTAGTCCTTTTGTTATTGTATTTGTTAACATGGCCTTTCAGGGGAAAAAAAAAAAAAAAGCAGGTTAGTTCATCATGATGGGGAGGAGGCAGGATTTTCAGTGTTAGAAGCTTGGATATTATTCCTTAACTCTTAAATACCTTGTGTCTTGATGGAAGATGATTAGCTACATAACTCTCCTAATCTTAGCTGAGATAGAGTTAATTTTCTTCCTAGTAGATGGTGTGGCATTAGATTTACAATGGATAATATTGATAACACATTGATTGTTTGGTTATTGCTGAGCAGTGATTACACCAAGTCAAGGGCTTGTCACATTTCCCTGCCAGTGAGGAGCTGGGGATACACAAGGATTGAGAGGGGACAAGACCAGGCTGACTGGCCAAAGGCTGCCCCATACCATATGGTGTCATGCTCAGCAATAAAAGTGGGAGGAGGTGGCCAGTGGGTGGCTGCTGCTGCTGCTTGGAGAATGGCTGGGCATCAGTTAGTGAAAACTGTGTTGTGCTGCACTTGTTACATTTATTCTTCTTGTTGGGGATCCCTTCCCCTTCCCCTTCCCCTTCCCCTTCCCCTTCCCCTTCCCCTTCCCCTTCCCCTTCCCCTTCCCCTTCCCCTTCCCCTTCCCCTTCCCCTTCCCCTTCCCCTTCCCCTTCCCCTTCCCCTTCCCCTTCCCCTTCCCCTTCCCCTTCCCCTTCCCCTTCCCCTTCCCCTTCCCCTTCCCCTTCCCCTTCCCCTTCCCCTTCCCCTTCCCCTTCCCCTTCCCCTTCCCCTTCCCCTTCCCCTTCCCCTTCCCCTTCCCCTTCCCCTTCCCCTTCCCCTTCCCCTTCCCCATGAAGTCCTGCACAGATTGGCTCTGGCAACAAATGTCAGTCATGTTTTTGCCTCCTTCCTACCTGCTCTTATCACATCCTGAAGCCCCTTTGTGTGGGTGCTATTGTTTGTAGAGCTACAGTGGTCTGGGACCAATCTGGCAAAAAAAACCCAAAAACCTGTGTGTGTTAAATTTTACTGGATCACTTCCCTACCCTCAGTCATTCGTGTCTGCATGAACATTAGTGTTGGCTCAAGGAACAGGACAGCAAATCCAAACTGGGGGAAGGGCAAAGCCATCTATTTTGTCAGCAGTGCCAGTTTATGCTGCATTAAAATTCTGAAACTACAGTGTAAGAAACACAAAGTGAGATGTACAGAAATCTACAGCAAACCGTCCGCATACAGAAAGATCTTTTAAGATTCAATTATTACATAAGTGGATTAAAAACTGCATTCTTTAATTTATTCACGAATTTCATGCCTAGTGTCTGTCACGTACTGATGCTTTAATGAACGCCTGTCTACCAAAAACATTATTGTAAGTACTAAAAGAATACTTGGCTGTGCTGCCAAAATGAAATGGATTGGTAGAGAACATTTGTCAGGACAGAAATAAAAGGTTTTCCATGTTCCAGAGACGGCCAGTTAAAATGCTGTTAAAGCTACAAAAGCTTCATGTGAAAGTTCGTGGGACACATGCCATAAAAACACACACACAAGAACATACAGTAGTCAGACAAACATGCTATTTTTCTTGCTCTTAGTTTTTTATCTTCAGTTTATTATATGGAATCCACAGCCAATTTTACCGAGGATATTATTCCCTCCAAATATGATTTCCTCCTTGTCCAATTTGCAGATTTCAGCTATGCAGATATTTGAAATTTCTGCTATGTATTTATGTATACTAGAATCAGTGACATATATGGATGCAGCTTGCATGCAGTTGGTTTGGCAACTAACTAAATTATGCTTCGAACATTGAAATAAAATCATAACTATAAAAAGAATGTAATCAATTAATGAAAGTTGATCAATGAATTGCACAAACTCTTAAGAGAATAACTGGAGGTGATGCAGTCAGCCCCATTAGTGAATGGATTTGAATTGCTATTGATTGAAATTGACTGTGGACAGCTCAATTATCAGAAAATTACTGGTTGTATTTGGAAGAATAAAGTAAAAGAAGAATATAGGACAAGATGAAGTTGTGTATTTTTCTGTACTTAAAAATGCATTATTTGGGAAAAACATTATGTGCTTAGAAATCATTGCCTCTTTTCATCTTGTTGTAGCTTTACATAAATGTAAAGAGTTTGTGTTAAATCTGTACAGGAATTTGAAACTGTGAGGTGAGTAAATCATTCTGTACAGTAACTACTTTAATCTTGCTTCAGAACAAAATGTCTCAGCTACATGTACTGTACAAAATGTCTCAAGCTACAGTATTGATTCACCTGAAATGCAACTAGCAACAGTGATACAAAAAGTTCTGTTAATCTGATTTCTTCTCCTTTCACTGTTCCTGACCAGGAATATCTCAATCTCCCTTGCAGTTAGTTTAACTCATGGGTGAAAAAAATGCTGAGATTTGAGCAGTATTTTCAAAATTGTTGCAAATGTAAGGCTATACTTTCCCCTTAAAAATTGACTATGTGTAAGAAGCAACATGAATATAATGACAAACAGGCTTTACAGTCATTACTAGCAGAAATGATGAATATCCTGTCTTCCATAAGAGCTGTCAACCATTCTTGGACAGAACCTTCCCTGCAAGTTAGCATGAATTATATAGCTGTATTACCAAGGACGTCCAGTACAAGAGAGACTAGAAACTGTCATTTATTTCTGACCTTGTTTGGTAAGAGATATAGTAAGTTAGTCTTTCTGTTGTCAGTTCTGCGGAGGATGGAGTACACGTGCAGCTTAAGACAACTACTTGTAATAGCAAAAAACAGTTTTCTGAGGGTTCTTTTTTCTTTTTTTTAGTGTCTGCAAACAGAAATCCTTAGGAAGTTTCAAAGCGATCTGTTGAGTTTCCTGGAGTAATTACTCTCAGATGTCAGTGTGACAATTCAGATGTCAGCATTCAAAATTGCTGGTCATTTTACAAGGCATTCAGCTCATGTAGGTACCTATTTTTGTAGGTAAGAATGAAAGCAATTTCAGGGACTGAAGAACAATTTTCTTTCCTTTATCAATTTAAGAAGGTAAGCATTATAAGGAGGTATGTGAAGTGCCATCCTTTTGCTCTGGACCACTTGGGGAAAATCTAAGGAGCAACTTGAAGCAAGTACACATATAGATGTGATTTTTTTGATATGGTGGCTCCAGTTTTATGAGTATCAAATGCTTTTTGCAGTACTATTATTTCTGTACTCATCAAATTCATACGTTCTCTCTTTTCTCCCTACGTTTGCAGTGGGACTGTTGCTGTCCTAAGCTGAAGGCTGACAAGCTGTACGTACTCGCATCCTGTGAAGGAGCAGTATGTTCTGCTCTGACCAGCCCTAATGAAAAGGCCAAAGTCTTTTTTTAAACATCTGCCTACATGAAAGCATGTTTGGTGATGCGATTCCGTTCTTCAGTGCAAATTTCATACTTGAATCAATGCTGACAGAATTTCAGACATCTCTTGACCCGAAACAGTAATGAGAAGAAGAAATGATCGTCTGAAGGGTTTCCTCTGACCCACCCCAGGGTATTTGGTAAGAAGGAAACAAAATTATATTTGAATCCATTCATGCACCACCTCTGAATGTGTAGACAGAATTCCCAGGCCTCATGTTTCTCAGAGATTGTATTCAGAGCAGTGAGGAGCAATCTGTTACTATGAGCTGACTGCAGGTCAGCTGATAAAGCTATAGTTGGGTGAGAGGTAAATTTAGAGGTAATAGGAAAAGGAAGAGTATATGAAGATGAAACCATCAGGACTGTTGTAACTCCCTTTCAGATTCTGATCTGATACAGCTTTGAAACAATATTTCCAGGGTATTCTTTCTCTTGCTTCATATTTAATTAGGAAAGTATAATTCTTAATTGACACGAGAATCTCAAGGAAGATCTAAGTTTGCTGATTATGGAGATGAAACACTGAATTTAATTATGCACAAAATGCTGCCAGACGGCCTAAATAAATTGATCTAAAAATTAGGAAAAAATATTTTCAGAAGTGTATTTTTCAAATTCACTTGCTCCCTCTATTAATTAATGTACAGCGTTCATATACTGCATTTAATCTATGTGCATGATTGACTAGAATAAGAAAGCATAAAACACATAAATGATAAATGTCACAATAGTATTGGGTTCCACGTTTCAGGTATATTAGGAAACACAGTTTCTTCATCATGTGTTGTTTTTTTTTTGTTTGTAAAATTTATTTTCCACTGAAGGCATAAAAAACAGTATACTGAAACCTCCAAGCAATTTTCAACCTTCAAATCCGGGAGAAATATTGGGATTAAGCTATGTTTTTTAACTGATTCTTCAACTGCAACCAAGGAAATTAATAACACACAATAATAATTTGAGCGGTGTCATTTTAGCTTTAAAAGTCTGATGGAGACAATTATACACACCTGTCTTAGCAGCAGGAATCTATCAAACAAATCTAGAAAACAACACCTCCAGAGAGCTTCATCAAAGAAATTGCAGGCAGAAAACAGGCCTACAGTCATGTTTAGCCCTGCCTTGACAGCTGACGTTGAATTCCACTACTAGCAGTAATATTTCTTCACTGTCTAAATCCTGAAAATTAGTTTTACTGCTACTGCGATTCAAGCGTTCATCTACGAAATTGTTCTTTTCACAGAACATCTTCATGCCTGTGTTGCTACATCAAAGATTACTTAAAAATATCCTGGTTGAAAGGATGATGATGTTTACCGTACTTCGTGTTCGCTACCCTCACTCTAACATAAACGCTATTTTATATGATAGAGGCTAAGCTGTAGCGTTTAGATGAAATGAAGTATCTTCTTGTTGGAAAAATGCTGTGAGTTCTGCATGAATATGGAGGAATGTGTCAAAACACAATCTAGTTGCCAGTGTACAACTACAAAACACTTAACTAAAGCACTTTAAAAAGCAGGAAAGACAAACTGTGACGGCTGAATGATTTTACTTATATAAGGGCGAGGGGAAACTTGAATATGCTTTTGCATTGATAAGAAGTTTATATTTAGCAGATAAAATTAATTTTCATTATTTCATTACTCAACTACATCTGCCCCATATTAACACCAATTATTATACCTCTTGCTAGGAAATGATTTGATGCATATAAAGCTTTGTCTGCTTTGGGAAATAACTCCCTCCCAGCCTCACTAACCAGCTTCCTCACATAAACTCACAAATCCTCCACAGAAGTCCGTGTCAGGTAATTCTCCAGTCTCAGTTCTGAAAAGCGAAGAAAATAAATTTGAAACCCCCTCAAAATAATAACAATCTTCTCTTCCTTTATTTTTAAATTAAACTACTACAGGATTAATTTTTGTGGCATTGGGTTTAAGTAGTTTTCTGCCTCTGCTTCTATATATACATACTCATTTTATCAGGGATGAGAACATATTTGCCACTGAGATTCAATATAAAACAATTTTATGAACGTGCAATATTTAATTCTTGTGCATCATCCTTGTATGATTTTCCATAGATCCTTTCTACTATAGAGCACAGCACAGGGCAGTGATATTTAGACCATATGTTTTACATACTTCAGGACCTCAATGTAGTCACTGGAAAAGATTCCTGTAGCAGAAATAAGTCTTGGCCTGAAACAGTGACAGAGCACCTAGTGAGAAAGCAGGGCCAACCCAGGGGAGCTCAGGTGCATGCAATGTAGCTGAATGACTGGAAGGGCTGGAGCCAGGATCCACTCCTTTCCAAATCTCATTTCAGGTTTGACAGTGGAGGCAAGGGTATCTTGCTGGAGATTTCTGCTTTCTAGAGGCCTTCCTCAGGTTAGTAGCTCTTTTCCTTTATTTCTGTGTTCATGGCTGCTGCATTTGGGCTTCTTATTTGCTGCAACTGGTGGCTTTGCCACCCTGCTACTATTGCAGTGCTTTCCATCCCATTATAGCATTACAATTCCTAACCAAGGTGTTCTGAGTAATTGTGCAATGGCAGAGTTTATATCTGCCTGCTGTTTATACAGGTCTTTATACGTGCTCCTTGCTTAATACAGTACAAAAAATGCTAGGTGCTTGTGATGTTCAACTTCTTGTGGAAACTGTTCTCAATATGTCTATCCTGCTTAGCCTATATATTTATTTTAGCTAGCTGTAAATAAAAACACGCTTTTGTATAGATGCTTAATTTTCCTACTAATCTCACATGGCATCTGGTCTTGCACATCGTGAATAAAGAATGGAACAATCAGAAAAAGAGATGTATTTTCTGGCAGCTGCTCACTTTAGCCTGCCTGCTGTATTTGTGAAGTACACGTCTGACTCTTTATTAAACATTGCCCAGACAGTCTGAAGGAGAAGCGTTTGAGTGCACTCTATACGGAGCTGGAGGGGAAGTTTATTGCATGGGATTTCTGAGCTGGGAAACGTACTGCTCCCTCCTCTGCCTCTCACCATCATTCGAATCCTGGTGTGTTGTTGTTTTTTGTGCTCTCTCCACATAGTATCTTAAGTTTTTACTTATGATTTTCCCCTTTAGAATAATTTTGCACTCTGCCATTCATTCATTCATTCATTCACTGGGAGTGAAAACACTCTGTTTGGGAGCCAGACCACAGCAGTTTTTTCAGGTTGCTGTTGTTATTATTATTATTATTTTTCCATGGATGTTCAATGTAAGGCATGTATTTTATCTCCTCAGTCACTGTCATAAGGGAGAGCCCTCAGTAGCTCTCTCTTAAGCTTGGTGAGGGCAGAAGGAATTTCTTCTTTCTCTCCTACAGGAAAGCTGCTTGTTTGCCGGATCATTGCGTGTCAAAAAGTGACCCCTAGCAAGTTGTGTGAGGCATCTGATGGACACCAGAACAGTGGCATTTATGGCAAACCTATAACAGAAGCCTTTATGTGGTGAGGAACGTTTTGATGATGTTAAATTTGGTGTTGTGGAGGTAGATACAATTATAGGGTTGCCAATATAGAGCTGGATGTTATAATAGTTTGAGATTATTAACTTTCAGTAAGTTGTTTTGGTTTTTTGACTTTTAATCACATGCATGCCTTCTGTATGCTGTCAGCACCGCGACATCTTACAGCCCACAGGGAGCTCCCTTGCAGAGGAACGCCAGCATTGCCTTTTGGAGAAGCCTCACGCAGGCGAAAACCTTAGCGCCTTCAATCTAATCGCGGAATTTACCAGCCGCATTTAAGTAAATGTAATTTAAAACGCAGCACCTTTTACACCAGCCCTTAAAGGGAAGCGAAGGCACGCACGCTTCCTGCGCATGCGCCCTGCCCCTCACCGGCCGGAAGCCGCGCGGGGTAATGGCGGTAATGGCGGAGCAGCAGGAGGTGGTGGTGCGGCTGCAGACCCTGACGGTGGAGGCCGGCTCTGCCGCCGAGGCGCCTTCGGCAGAGGGGGCGCCGTCGGCAGAGGGGGCGCCGTCGGCAGAGGGGGCGCCGTCGGCAGAGGGGGCGCCGTCGGCAGAGGGGGCGCCGTCGGCAGAGGGGGCGCCGTCGGCAGAGGGGGCGCCGTCGGCAGAGGGGGCGCCGTCGGCTGAGGGGGCGCCGTCGGCTGAGGGGGCGCCGTCGGCTGAGGGGGCGCCGTCGGCTGAGGGGGCGCCGTCGGCTGAGGGGGCGCCGTCGGCTGAGGGGGCGCCGTCGGCTGAGGGGGCGCCGTCGGCTGAGGGGGCGCCGTCGGCTGAGGGGGCGCCGTCGGCTGAGGGGGCGCCGTCGGCTGAGGGGGCGCCGTCGGCTGAGGGGGCGCCCCCTTGCACGCCGCTGCCCGCGGAGGCTCGCAGCGAGCCGCACGCCGCCACCTCGGACTCGGAGAGGTGAGTTTGCACCGGGCGATGCTTTTCTATGGTCTCGTCCGGTGGCTTTGTTAGAATGAGGGGAAGATCACTTCTGCGTACTGGATGTATTTAAGAAAACGTGTGCTGTCCAAAGCAAGTTGCACGGAGCGTAATCTAGCAGCATGTTAATGTAGGGGTCTGTATTTTAACTCCTTTTTTTCTTTTATTCAGTGACACAGATTCGGATAGTTCGTCAGCTACATCGTCCTCTTCGTGTTCTCCTTCGGCACTGTCTGATGACGATGATCACCCAAATGAGAAGGATAACAGAACGTCCTGCGTTAGAACAAAGGATGAGTTGCCCCTTGATGTAAGTAAGTGGTGTCTTTTTAAACACTAATCTAGTAACTCAACTTCAAGTGATTTATGTGTTTTTAAATTGTCAGGAAGAAAGAAAACCCACAGAGATTAAATGTACACTTTTGCACTAGTTCAGACATACAGTATGTGGTTGATAGTTTAAAATGTGTTCTCTTTCTCTATTTCAGTGGTGAATGTGTGGCTTTATACTGAATAATGACTTGATATTTTCAGGAACTGCCTCCTGTTGAAGATTTAACTGTAATTCTGCCTGATAATGTTGAACTGAAGCCTTTTGGGACAGTTTCCAGTATCATTGAGCAGCTAGGTAGGCAAGATATGTTGAAATAAATGTTTTTTTTTTTTTAATAATTAAAATATTTCTAATATATCTACATAAGTTGTTTGTGAACCCTTACCCCAAAGTTTCAGTACAGCTGTGTTGTGTTTCACAGCACTGCTAAACCTTTCTGTTGATCCTATGCCCTTAATCAGGAAAGGGGCAGCAGATTTCTGAATGAGAACAGATGTGAAGACAAGATACTGGATGACATTTGTATTGAGTGCTTTCAGCTGGATGGCC